ACTTTTCACGGCGAAAATGTCAACCAGTCGACTTCTATCTCAACGCCTAAGCCTCGAATTAATATCTCGTCGCGGTAAAACCTGCTTCGAAGGACGAACAAGGAATTTTGTTATTTATTGACGAAAAGAAAATTTCCCGTCGCCACGAGGGACTCTTCCTCTTTGATGAAAAAGAAAACACTTTTCACGGCGAAAATGTCAACCAGTCGACTTCTATCTCAACGCCTAACCCTCGAATTAATATCTCGTCGCGGGCAACCTGCTTTGAAGGACGAATAAGGAATTTTGTTGTTTATCGACGAAAAGGAATTTCCCCGTCGCCACGAGGGACTCTTCCCCTTTGATGAAAAAAAAAACCGTTACTTTCCCCCGAATCTCTCGCTAACAGATATCGACTTCAATTTTCGCAAAAAAAATTTCACAAGTTTTCTTTCTCGATAAGTCGTCGTAATGTGCCGGAATCTTAAGATCGTCTTCGCGGTTCGTGTGAAACTCGAGAAAAAGCGTCTTATATACGTGCCTTTTCGTTAGAGATTTGTTATCTCGTGTCTTTCAGGCGTAAATCAGTTGGAGGCCTACGCGGCGTCCTCGGGGTCGTCCGGGACGCCGGGCCAGCTGCCCCTGACGAGCTTCCGGGCGCTTCCGGCCAAGAGCAACCTGAAGCGCAGATTGACCGACTGCATGGAGAGCGACGAGTCGCGGGGCAACGTCGACGAGCCCCTGAAGAAGAAGCGCAACATCCACTTCGACGCGGTGACGGTTTATTACTTCTCCAGGGCGCAGGGCTTCACCTGCGTACCTTCCCAGGTAAGTCCGAAAATTAGGTCCCTCCTTCCCGTCTGGCCCTTTCAGCTCGCGGACAACGTTTGTGCTAACATTTCGCGATATGTCTTTCCTTTATGTCTATAGTCTGACTGCCTCGCTACACTTGCAAAAAATGGTTCGTTGAATGCCGCATATTTAATTTCGTATATTTTTTTATTCCAATTCAATTCTATTGTTCCGGTAGAGTATGAATATGGAAAATGTATTCATTTGTCTGTTTATTCGCTATCGTTCACTTTGCAATCAATACGCTTCGTGCATTGCTCGTTATAAAGCTTCTAATTGTCTTCTCACATATTAATTATTTATTATTGTTTATTTACTTTTTCACCATTTTCTCTTTTCCTTTATATTATATAATCGCGCATAAATCATCGAGGCAAGAGATATTTTTTTATTTCACTATGTCTGCCGATATCAAGATTTTATTTATACGGACCGGGAGAGAATGACTAACAAGCGTCCAAAGTTATTTATATGACGGAAAATCTTGCCGTCATTTGTAAAACCACCTCGTGAGCGCGATCGATTTTATATGTATATAAAGATACGATCAATCCTTCTTTCTTTCAATCGCGTTCACGCGAGACAACTCCTCTTTCAATTCCTCCCTCTCTACCTCGCGTCATTTATAATACCATTCGATAATACCACGATAATATTCGCTATCAAATTTGTATAAGACACCGTCGATTCCCTTTTCCTTTTGTGTGCCATTACTTTACAATAAAATTTTATGGCATCGTGATATAACGTTACTTATTAGTTCCACGTAAGGTTTCAGCCAGTAGGGAAAGAAATGAACAAATTTTGTTTACCGATCTGACGATAATAGCGTAATATCATTCATATTTTATTGCTGAGTTTATTTTTATTTATTTGTATATCACAATTATATTTTATTATTATCATTATGTCTATTATTATTTCGATTTGTAAATTCATACAAGTTTGAAGTTTATAAAAGTAGGATGACAAAGAGTCCTTTTTTTATCATCGATATACGTTATTATCAATATACGCTTGTTGTTCTCTTACTGTTTGTGTTTCGAAAGCTCAATTCCGATCATTGAATACGTAAATATACTCATGGTGTTTGTGCGGATTTATGCAAAAGAGACGCGAGAGATCGATCCACCCGGTTATAGGGCGGCAGCACTCTGGGCATGAACGCGACGCACACGCACGCGGAGAGGTTCTCGTTGTCGGAGCACGCAGCCGAGCAGAGGCGGATTCACCGCGCGCGACTAGCGCAGTTGCGCTCCGAGCGCAATTGCGCGACCAATTGCGTGACCGAGACGGCGTCGAGCTCGGAGGACCCGAGCGACGACACCGACGAGGAGCCGAGCGACAACGAGGAGCTCGACATCGACAGCTATTACTTCCTGCAGCCGGTGCCCACGTGGCAGCGCCGGGCACTTCTCCGGGCCGCCGGGGTCCGGAGGATAGACGGGGTCGAGAAGGACGAATGCCGCGATATCCGCGCCAGCAGGGAACACTGCGGATGCGGCTGCAAAGGATACTGCGATCCCGAGAGCTGTCCTTGTAGCAGGGCCAACGTAAAGTGTCAGGTGAGAAAGAGAAAGAGAGAGAAGAGTAGAATAGAGCAATTGAAATTTTGGAATACGCCTATCACACAGTAGACTCATACAAGCATGAAATAATGAAGATGATAAGAGATAAAAAAAATATATATATTTATACATATATTATAGTATAAATATATTTAAATATATATATATATGTATATATATATATATAATATTATACATAAATCTATACTTGGAGAGCTTTATAAAGCAAGCATACAATTTGTGTATTTAATTTAATTTCACAATGTTATCGTAAAAAGCTCCACACGACAAATCTACATTATTCTCTTGTTCTAATTATTATTAATGTTATTGTACAGAGAGAAAAAAAGAGAGAGAGAAAGAGAGATTCGCAGAACACAAGTAGAATTAACATTCTACTTTTATAAATGAATTGAATGATTCAATGTGATAATTTAGAAGAAAAATGACATTTACGATTCGAGCTGGATCTTGGTAGTCTAATAATATTTCTGTGTGTATTTAGTACATAGTATAACATATTTTGCAACCTAGTAAACTGCGCACCAATTAATTTGTTGGACTTAAAACACAGTTTCCATTGGAATAGTAAAATATATATAACATGTATCTCCTTCCTAATTATAAATATTATTAGGCTATCAAGATCCAGCTCAGATCGTAAATAATATTTTTTTTCTAAACTGATTGTATATCAAACGGTCTTGTTTCCCTTTATATCGCGATAATTTGGCTATCTGGTTTCTAACGAAACGTTTTAGAAGGAGAGAGCACATCCTTCAAATATGTAAAATTTAAGAAACTTTGATTGAATGCGAAATGAAAAATTGAAATCTTCTAACCTCCTTTTTAAAAACTCACGAAAATTCGTGTAAATTTAATATTCTCCAGTTTGAGCTCAATGTATTAATTGGAGATTAATCTGTCAAAATTTTCTAAGACCGCCGTTGAATTGAATTCTTCCGACGATTAATCTTCCTGTTTGTTAACACGTTCTACTCACAATCAGTTCAGATCAGTTTAACTGGATAAGCTGAAGGATTAACGGGTAAAGCTTGGGATCGATCTTTCTTTACCTGCAAAAAAAGACCGATTCAGAGAAATGTTAAACGATTTTTCATTGTATTCGGTTTCCAGGTGGATCGACCGGGTTTCCCTTGCGGCTGCACGCGGGACGGTTGCGCGAACAGCACAGGCAGGATCGAATTTAACCCTGTGCGGGTGCGAACGCATTTCATCCATACGCTGATGCGATTAGAGTTGGAAAAGAAGCAGCGCGAGGAGGACGTCGGCGGCGATCACGATCATCTAGTGGACAATCAGGGACAAGGTAGGGGTGCTCGTTCCCTGAGAGACATCGGTTCCTTGGGAATGGACGCTACCGTGGGCGGCGACGCGTGCGCGATCCCGGGTACGGGACCCGGGGGAGGTGGCGGATTCACGACCTTGCACTACGAGACGGGTCACGAGAGTGTCGGAGCTGGCGTGGCTGGTTGCCAACCGGAAGTGCCCGGCACGCGGGAGGACAGTCTGGACTTGTACGCCATCAGGGACGACTGTTACGCGAGCGAAGACGCGGTGGATAGCAGCCAATCGGTCGTCGTGCAACGGAAACTGCACCCGGAATTCGGCCAGGCCTTTCAAAGCTTTTCGCCCGGCGTGCAGAGCGGCGGTGCCGTTAACGGTGGCGGTGGTGCTGGCAATGGCGGTGGCGGCATGAGCTTCCAGCAATCCTCGTATCAGGACTACGGATACGCGAGTCTACCATCCTCGTCGCGGTTCCAGCCGCCGCAGTTCCAGTCACCGCCCAATCCGGCCGCCTTCGCGCACTACGGGCCCTACGGCGGGCCCCAGGACACCGCGGGCACCGGTCTTCAGGGTGGCTGCGCCGGCCAGGTGCACCAAATGCAGCCGCAGCCGTCGCAGAGCCAGCAGCAGCAACAGCAACAGCACTCGTCCTACGACGTGACGGTGTTCGCGCAGGATGACGCCACGAGTACCGCGCAGTACACGAATCTCACCAACTCGGTGCAGCCGATGAATGCGACGGTGGTGCAGCAGATGCAGAACAAGCTCGAGCCCTTCTCGGAACTCCTTAGCGGCAGGTATTCGTACTACGGCGAGATGCACGAACCGCAGCAGCACCACAGTACTTACGGTACTCACGGCAAGGTCGCGGAGATGATGGAGCCCGGTCAGGTCACCAGCGAGCAACAGCCCGATGGCGCGTCTGAGGACTGCGACGAGAACTTCGGCGAGATCATCAAGAAGTCCATGGTCGAGACCGTGTCTGCCTAGGATAAAGAAAGCCTATCTCGCGGGGAACTGTAACCAGGACAAGTACTGAGGATGCTCAGTGCGCGCCGAAAGATCGCTGCTGATCTTTTCAAAATCGGGAGGGTGAAGCCCTTTCCTGCTCGCGCGATGAGCTCGAGAACAAGGAACTGGGCTCTTAGCGCTCGACAGTTCGTTTCCCTCGAGCTCTTTGCCCAGGATCGTTTGGACAACGGACTCCGTTGAATATGGAGACACTCGACGCACTCCGTGAACGATCTTGATGGCTCGGTTTCTTCAAAGCCTGGAAGATCGAAATATTTCGGATCTCTTCCAATTTTGCGATAATCTCGAAAAGGAGGACTTCGAGGACAACCTAGACAGAGGAGGAAACTCCGAAATTGTTCACTCTCCCATGCGATACTCGAACAGGGGTGAACGTAGCGCCCTCCGAGGGAGATGGAAGATCTTCCGGGGCCAGGGCATCGCGTTTTTGAGAGATCTCGCCCAGAGATCGTTAGGGAATTTTATGGCTACGACGTGTGCGTCCGCCCGGGATGGAGAGACTCGCGATGT